ATGCTAAAGGATCGTAAACAAAAGAATAATGATGTAAAAAGAATACTACCATTTATTAAGCGTAGGTGACAGCTGAGTGACGTCCGGATTTGCCGGAGCCGGTAAATGTAACCTGTTACCTCATTAATATGCAGGGGACATACAGTGTGTTCGTTATATCCGGAAGTTCGTTATAAAAGAGTTCGTTATAGCGAGGTTACAGTGTATATCTGTTGTTCACATGCATTGGACCTAACAAATATTGGCGTACTTTATCACAACTTTTTTTTTGTATTTCGACACCGGTAAATAATTATTGATTTAAAAACACGTCATCAACTTTTCGGGTTGTTTACCCTGTTCGATATTATCATTTTTTTTCTTCAAACAACGATGCAATGTTCGTTATACTGCGAGTACTGACCGTATGTGTCTTACTATATCTGTTGTTCACATGCATTGGACCTAACAAATATTGGCGTACTCTATCACAACTTTTTTTGTGTATTTCGACACTGTTAAATAATTATTGATTTAAAAACACGTCATCAACTTTTTGGGTTGTTTTCCCCTGTTCGATATTATCATTTTTTTTTCAAACAACAATGCAAAAATTAAAATTTGTTGAGCTACTTTCTCATGAATGACCGTTTAAACTATATTTCAACAAACAATAATATTCATGACAAATTTCTGATAGTACGTGTCATCCATATTATAACTATTGATTGATGACCACATGCTACCAAACTTCTGAAACATAAATGGTAAATGGTAAACATCGCCATTTTTAGAGTTGTTTGACATTTGTTTGTGAGAAAAAGTAGTTCGGTTACCATATATATTTACCCGGGGTCTTATGGATAATAACACAATATATGATAACTGTCCGGTCCAAGTACAGGCTTCAATCAAGATCCTTTCAAAGTTATATCTATTGGATAGATTTTTCTCAGTGATTTTGGCCTCCCAGGGTCGATCTTTTTTTGCGTCCAACCCCAGGTAGGATTTGAAATCGGGACCCCGTGTCGTTCAAGTTCATGATGGGCGGGCAGTACAATAGCCACTACGCTACTGGTGGTCTGACATATGGATATACAGTCAGTACAGCTCAATCTGTCTTAATGAACACCCCTGATTGTTGGACTCTTACGGTATAACTAAAATATTTATCGTGCCAACGCAGGAGTAGCCGTGTTGCAGAAGATACTCGGGCCACACCGTACTACCACGACAGCGATTACAGCGCCCCCTGTGGCAGTAATCTTATAACAAAGTTCAGAACTCTTCATCTTTCACCCATTCATACTAGAAATGTATTGGAAGTCAATTAAAAACCGATCAAGGAAGTATACTCATAAATCTTCGTCTTTGGATTACTCTTTATTAGTCACGACTAAGTTATGAAATATGTCCTGGGAATCGTGTTAGTATGTAAACCACGAATGCTTTTATTCCTATGGGTAGTGTGGAAAATGTAAACTTTTATTGAAGCAAGTTTTTGGCTGAATCCCATGTCTGCTCACAAACAAGACCTGAAACATACAGTATACAAACCGTTCGGCGATCACCAAAATAGATCTAGAGCCATATACAGGTACACAATCGGTGTAAAATCCACAAAAGTTACAAGAAAACAATCAGATAAAGAAGGGATTACGTCCGAAGTAATCGTATTCGGTTAGCTAAGATAAACATCTCGAGTCGTCACACTTCACCGGCGAGAAGTGGAAGAAAGTATGCGTAAACACACGTGTTGTGGCATTCACGCCCACCGAGCCAGGTGTATCTCAATGACTGCCCGTGAATGCAGAAATAGTTGCAAACTAAACCTAAGTGACTAACTTGCTACTTGTCAAAGCTAAGCATTTGCCGCCGGCGGTCCAATTTCCGTCCGTTCGCGTGCCATGTTGCCGGAGTCACGCCTGAACCACAGTAAACACATTCCACGGTATAATGACGAGTCGCGTTAGGTCACTAATGCTACTGTAACGCACAGTATATCGTCGAGATATTTGTTTATTAGAAATAAATACTCTAATAACACGGCGAGTACTTGATGTGGTGACTGGACTCGGAGTTCCTTCACTAAAACCTTATTTTTGAGTTTTCTCTTTCTTTTTTTAGTTCCATGGACTATTGAGTTAGAGTACTACCATACCTTCCACGCTAGCGGGCAACTTGTAATTTGCTTACACACACTCTCACGGGTGTGCATTTGATCCGACACAAAATATGCAACTGTCCTCAGAACATGCGATTTAACAAATAATATTGGGTAGGTTCGTCTGAAACGATGGCTATATGTCCGTTCCAACTCGGTTTCAACACACAGATGTAAATCGAACTCGTTTGGTTGGCCCATGGAGCACTATGGTTGGCCTTGTTAGACTTTTTCGCAACTCGTAAAATTTCTGCCATAATACAATCCAGGAAATAAACTCAGGGTCAATTTTGTTACTAAAGTTTACGCACATAACTGTTTCCGAACATTAAGTTTATTATTAGTACCAAAACAACATCGCTACTTGTAACTCCGAAATCGTACGGCGGATAATGTTGCTTTGGTAATAAGCCAGTAGTGTGAAAATAGTGTCAACACAAGAGGTCACGCACATTCCTCCGCGTTTGAATTACATCACCGTGACGACCGCATTCTGGTCTGAATCGGAACAGAAATAAAAAATGCCGATCTTGGTACGACGTGACATACCGGTGGCTGACGTGCCATCGTCGCTATAGACTGAAAGCAGTATAAATAGAACGATTGTCCGTACACGTGCTATGGGAGGGCAAACGGCGGGAATACCGAGTATTCTTTGCGTGTAGGTTGTAAACAATCTGTGTCCAATCAGCTCAGCTGTTGTGTTCATGGGAGGGGAATCCCGGGATCTGACAGGTTAACACGGTTAATAGTTTTATACCACGTATGGTTTTATTAATTATCAAAATAATATGGGTTTTATGACGATATTTGTGAAGAATTGTCAGTGTTAAATATTGAGAATTTTTTTAAAGATGTTATCAAACGTATATTATGATGTGTGTAAAGGTTTAAAATTATATCATTTAAATATAATCACTAACCACATTACTGTGCCAGTTCCTGGGTATCCCCAGTTTTGACAGATAATGTTTGTCCCACTTCCACAGTTTATGTTTATCGTTCCGCGCATTAGAACTACTTTTTACCTGTGGAAGTTATTGCGTGATTTATAAACTTCAAAATTGGTGCAGCGATCAAATTCACTGACTGCTTATACTGGGGGACTCAAAGTTGAAATCGAATCGATTGCCGTGTTGTGACAGTAACTAAATACGGCGCTCAGTCATTCGGACGTGTAATCTACGACTTGGTGTTTTTTAAAAACTCGCGGGGTCGGAGCACTTCGCGGACTGATATTTCAATCAATTAGCAAAAGTTGTACGTAACAGAAGTTGATAGCATGTCTATATCCAGATCTTTCAGCGATCGAAGTTGAAGTGTGTGTGTGGGACTTTGTAAAACGCCGTGATTGTATCTCATCGCTGAGCAAAAAACACAATCGGCCACACAGGATTTTCTTATACTAGGACCAGTTGGCAGCCTCATCGGCAGCAACACGGTCATCATAGACTCTAGTTTTGCACACAGTCTTGGGAAGAAAATGGTGACGGAGGCGAACGACGATTCCGGCAGGGAAAGGGAATATAAGCACGCGAAATCGTTATTGGGAATTTCATGTTTAGGTATTTTATGCGTTGTCTTTAGTTTTACCGCTGCTGTGTGCGTGTATTTTATACTAGACTCTCGACTACTGGGAATCGAAAAGCGTGTTTCCAACCTGGAGATAGAGGACCACCAGAGGATAGAGGCATATTTAGACAACCGCCTCGATCAACTCCTATCAGAGGTAAACTTTCAAAGTTATTTCTCAATTCACTCTCACCTCTTACACTAGCAGCTAGTGTTTTGTAAACATTACTTTCTGCATTGTTCGCGCACTGTTAATAATATTGTTGGGCCTTGCCTTTTTGTAATTCGAACTTGTTGTTTCTTGATTTTTTTTGGTAGCGGCTCGAGGATCATTTGGCGAAGACAAGGCAAAAAAGGCAGCTCCAAGGAGAAACATATTTGGAGAAAGAGAAATGCCTTTGCCCTGCAGGTCTGTTGTTATGCTCAAGTTGCTTGTTTTTATACGAGCGGATGAGATTTGTGAAGAGAGGGGTATGTGAAAGTGTTGTTGAAGTGTGAAGCGCCGATTTCTCCTATAAACTGCGCGATTGACGCGTTCATCGGAGCGAAAACTTAGCATTGAAGTGTAGCTTTTCTCCATGCACGAACGATAAAGCGCGTGAAATTATCGGAAATAGCCGGTGTTGTATTGTGCTGCATTGTTCTGCTTATTTGTCCGGCTCTCCCACTCGCTGTTTACTGTGCCCGATTACTCTTAGTAGCAGAGTATCTTCTCTTTGATCGGAGTATGCCAACCGCGAAGACCTTATCTTTGCTTACATGCCTGGGAAGCCCTCCACTATTACTACCGTGATACTGCGCGGTCGAGTATGCGCCTAAATTTCAACACACTTCGTTTAGAGTACAGTATCTTTTGATGGAATGTAATTACACCTCATTGCGCTTAGATTATACACCAGATCGTTTACAAATGTGAGTTTTCCCGTGAAATTGCTCGGTATTATTAGCTTCCATTTCCATGCCCTTGAATGGTTGAATTCCTTTGCAAAGGCGCTAACACCTCCTCGAGTCCTGGTAATAACTTGTGTCAAGAGCCGATCACAAATCCTTTTTCAGTTGGAGTGCGGAAGAGTTCCCTTTCCTCCCTTTCTCCAAAGATGAATGGAAGAAGTGACAAACGTTCAATGAACGGGGGCAAGGCAACTCGCACACTACACCCGCAAAGTTAAATACATGCCCTTTTCAAAACACCAAAGCATAGTTTGGTTGAGTGGACTGCTTTTTATTCGCGCAGACGAGGCTACACCCGACCAGCGATTCGAGTGTCATGTTTTTTGCGTTCGATGATAGAGGTGGTCAGTCCTATTTCATATCCATTTCTCTCTTTCACCCCACTTAAGTCTGTTTGTCCCATTCTTTGGATTTCTCAGACTACTACTGTGGAATACTTTATTTTCGCTGGAATTTATTTTCGCTGAAAAGGCTTTTTGGGCGATTTGCTTGGAATTTATTTTCACTGATTTTTGATGAGATTAATGTAAAATATAGGAAAAAATGTATATTCACCGGATTTTATTTTCACGGAATCATCCCTTCAGCGAAAATAGTGTCCCAACAGTGACTGAAAGTACACTGATATATGAATGGAAAACCTTCTAGTAATCTCTACTTTCGTGACAAGACCCTCTTTTAATTAACTGTAACTGTCTGTGTTGCAGTCACAGCAGATACCTTCTATTCTGCGTACACACAATTACTGTTCCGCCAGTCATCTCTATAGTGATAGGCATATTGCTGTCAAATACAGAGCTTTAATTTAAATTTAATTCTTTGAAAATATTTTGAATTTATAGCATGTCATTTCCAGGTTCAATTTTAATTTTGCAAGAGATAACTTTTGTATCTATTGTATATAATGTCACAAAATTATGCGGCAGTGAAAATTTCACTTTTTTATCCATGGTTCTGTAAATCACTTATTTTTACTAAATTCTTAGTAAGATTTGTCTTGTAAGATGTTCCTAAAGTAGTATATATTTTCTCAGTAGAATAGACAACTGTTGCCATGGGCTACCAGTAATTAAATCAGGGCTTGAACAAAATTAATTAAAATAAACATGAATATCACTTATGTAATTGCATCATTGTTCTCCTTGGCACTGGCAGGTTAATATGGTTAATGCCACTAATTACGTTAGGAATACATTTTAATCCTGTTTTCAAGAGTTAATCCTGTGAAACATTCTGATCTGTGCGGCAAAAATATGTTATGCCTTCCCTTGAAAAGTTTAATCTTAGACATTTTTTTTAATTGTCCATTATTATTAATTATCTGTAAAAAAAGTGTGAATGTTTAAAACTAATTATCAAATGGGTTGTATTTATATTTATTTAAATGCACACTATTTAAATCTAATGCATATTCAAATTTAATTATAGAACATAGTGTATCTTCATACATAAAGCAGTAAATTTGAAACCTAGGGAATGTTCCAAAAATAAACTCAGTCAATATTTCTGCTTCTGCATTCCTTTTAAATCAAGTGAATAAGAATAATCTATTAAAACGTCTTTCATATGCAAATTGGTCACATTCAATATTTTTTCAGGGGACACTCAGTGAAGCACTGTTTCATTGTGTGCGGGTATTACCACACAAGTTGATGAAATAAATGCAATTCATTGTCGCATTTCGACAACTCGTAGTGCCCCTACATTTTGAGAGAACTCTGACCTTACCCAAGCTGATTGTATAATTAGGAGCAACTTTACAAGATAGAAATAGATGAACTTCTAAAATAGTTTGGTAATCAATGTGATTTATGAACTTGGCCTTTTAGGGGTGAAGGTGTAATTCTGTCATCCAGAACAAGACAACACGCATCCTTTTCTAAAACTAACAGCATCTTGTTCTAAAACTAATGCTCACTTTTATTTTGTGAATTAGAGCTTCCACTTATATGGCTTGTCACTTTATTTTGCCTGAGTATATTTTGAGTACAACATGGAATAAATACTATGCTAGATGGTATGAAGAGTGTACTGCATTGTGTATATCGGAATTGCAGGCGGCGCTAGAACCATGGTACTTTGACCTCTGTCTGGGTGCCTACAGCTGTTGTTATATTTCTAGCTGCCCAGCCAGGTTTTATTATGATAGAGAGAAATTTTGTGATATGCTTTGGTATTCAGATTCCTATATGATCTGATGCACGAATTACGTTTTAAGCACAATACAATCTTGTGTTATGACATGCATGCTGTGAAATACTGCATTGAGTCGAATAGCAGGACGATACATTGAATTCTTATTCTATGTCTAGTTCTTTATAGTTGATTGTTACTAGTATATTGGTACATTGATGCTATAAACTGTTCACTTTTCACAATTTTAGGATTCTCGATTTAGCCATTCGTGCGAATTCTCTGATATTACATTTTCTAGGACACCATATACATTTTCAGTAATAACAAATTTTGCAATTTTTACTGATTTGCAAAAATTTCTCACACATAAAATAAAAATGGTTTAATATTGTTATTCTTGTTTCAGACCCATGCAAAGATGTGTGTAGTTACACCGCCCCCAAATTAACAATACAAGTATTGATAATTAAGAATTCATCCTTAAATGGGAACACTCTTTGATAATGAGCAAGAAAATGTTGATTTATTGATTTCAAATCAATAGAAGATGCAGTGATTTGATGTAGAGTTCTTACCAGGAGAAAAACCTAAGAGCAGTGATTTTCCCTCCACCTGGCAGGCTACTGTAGCTCTATGCCAAACTAATTATTGAATTTTGAATTCTTTCTCTTCTTTTGATCAATTTAAAAAATAAACACCTTCCTGGGAGTAATGATTGGAGTTGAACTTTAATTTGCAATCAGAGATCAATCATGAAGCTTTATTGAAGTCTATTTCATATGATATCCGTCAAGTTCTGGGTTTTTATCACTTCAACATTAAATTTTCAAAGGTATCATTATGCATGCCGTTATTTGTGCAATCAAATTTCATTTGCTAGAAATACATTGCCATGGAGACGGTGTTTTTCCCCACTCATTTTGATAATCGATGGAGGCTATAGTCTTCCAATAGACATCATATCACTTCACATAGAGATTTACCAGTGTTCCAAATTACTGCAGCCAGTAATATTCAGAACTAGTAAGAAAACTTATATACTTGTCACAATTATATAACTTCCCATAATCTTAAATTATTTGATTGGAATATTTAAAAATGAATTATTACAATTAAAACTTGGTTCAGTCTTGGATGTGTCAGCTTTGATAATAGTAATAGTAATTTATATCATACCAGTGTATGAGGATACGCATGTACATACCTAGTACAATACAGTTGCAAAACACAAAAGGTTATGAATACAAATTAAAATATGAAAAAATTAAATAAACTAATGCAATATGTAAAAACCCACACCCTCATAATAATGCAGTAGCTGGTCTTTTTTAAACAATCTTCCCTCAAAGTAAAACAGTTATGAATGTATTTAATGTTTAATTGCGTGTTAAGTATGTTTGTGGAGATAATCGTGCCAGTTTTGTTGAGTGCTCACAATGCACACAAAAAATAGTCTTCATCTTCAATTTGATCTTTTACATTAATTTACATATGTGTGCTTTACATTTTTACAACTCATTCCGTTGACAAATGAATGTCTATTTCAGAAATATGTTACTTGTTAAGGATAATATCATGATTATTCTGCTTAATTTTTGTGTGTGTGCAAAAGTATTGGCACAGAGAAACATTATTCCTGTGTAGTGCATCATTGCATGTTCTCATTTTCAGCTGTGCTCATGCATCTTGAATATGAAATAAGAATGCACTGTTTTTCAAAGAGCATGTAGCTACTCAAAGTTTGATTTTTTAATTCTGACTTTTTTCCTGAATTCAAAGAGGGTAACTGGCTCCCAGCTGTCACCATGATGCAAGCAATGCATCGCCATAGTTACTTATAAGTGCTTTATAAGAAGTAACACTGAATAAAAGATGTTTTGAACTTTTACCAGTGCTGGGAGTGACCACTGGGTTAATGGTACAGTCTATTCTGAGTAGCCATAGTGATAGTAGAGGAAATACTTCACTCACTTGTACAGCAGTAGCAATGGCAGAGGGGCAATTAACACTCATTCACTCACTTGTATGGCTCACTATGGTGAGTAGCAGTGACGATGGCAAAGGAGTAACACTTGGTTACTCACTTGTATGGCTCACTATGGCAAGTAGCACTTGTATGACTCACTATGGTGAGTAGCAGTAGTGATGGCAGAGGGGTAACACTTGGTTACTCACTTGTATGTCTCACTATGGTGAGTAACAGTGACGATGGCAGAGGGGTAACACTGTACTCACTTGTATGGCTCACTATGGCGAGTAGCAGTGACGATGGCAGAGGGGTAACACTTGGTTACTCACTTGTATGTCTCACTATGGTGAGTA